TCAAATCGTTTGAGCTTCATTTACAAACTAGAAAGAGAAGTTTCGGTGGTAAATTCATTTCGACACCCTTATCAACTTAAACACACAAAGGCGTTTTCTGAGGCTTTTTCTCACACTTAACCAGATAGCTCCTGGGCACAAAATTCATATTGGATAGGGTTTCTATTTATACGCAAGAAAGTTGATTTCGGAGCGATTTCTGAATGGAGCGAAGTTACGCCTCGCCGATCTCTAACAAATCGGATAGTTGTTTATACTCTACCGGACAGTGGTGTCGGCAGTCGGCACGAAACGTTATCCGGTATTGTGTGTGCATTGTCTGACTAACACCGATACCGCAAAAAAATACCTATACTTAACTAACGTTTATCATCCATTGCAACTGGTTCCTTCTTGGGTTGATTCCATAAAGAATCTTCGTCGGCAGTGACTATGTTAAACACCAAGGGAAATAAGAGAATTATCCACTTCTGAATGACCATGATTCCAGGACAGTAACTAACTCAAAGATACGGCTCTCCGCTGTCGAAAGAGCAATGAAGGACAAGTGATGTGTTCTACCGCCTTTTAAAGCTTTTAAAGTGTGAAGTTTTTCAACACAAGAGGGTGAAAATTACAAGTGTTAAATGAACAAAATATAAATCAGTCCTGATTTTACAAATAAAAGTTGGAATTTTTAAACACAAAGACAAAAATACCCGCCTTTGACTTTGTATGCCTGCAAATCTATTGGGATGGGAATTCGGCTTAAAGAAAGGTCACGGAAATTACAAGCTGTCAAGCTATAAACACCCCTAGATCTAATTCTTATTTCACAAAGATGTGTGTAAATTCTTCAGTTAGAAAGGGATAAAGGATAGTAAAGAGTGGGCATTTTTTGTTCTTAACTAATGCAAAAGTATACTCAGTAATGTAGACCAACGTTTAAGTTCATATTATATGTCACAACTTTTTTGTCAAAAGCAAAAAGAGTAAAATAAGCAGCCCGAAATAACATTTGAATTACATATTTTTCATTGAAAGAACAGTTTCATATCAAGGAATGAGGCTTCAATTGATAAACTAGTAACAATACCCTCTAGGCAATGTGCTGATTAGTTATTTCGGTTGCATAATACTCATTTCACTGTTGACTAAATAAAAGCTGAAGAGACAAAGTCGATCATAACTTGGAACACAACTTGCAACATTTTTTAATGTAATGACACATTTTGTCGTTAATTAAGAAAAAAATGAAATTAAGATCAAAACACTGCTCAAAATATTAAGAGTATTTTTTTTTTCTTCAGACAAACAGACAGAACTCTTTTAGCCAATGAAAACTGAAAAGAAAAATACCATGGTTAGTTAAAAACAAAATGTAAACACGAACCCCTAAAAGAATTGAAAGAAGATATTTCAGAGGGACAAAGAAATAGGTATTAAGTTCGGCACATATAAAGTTCGACGTTTGAACCGGCGGGCCTTAGCCAATGAAAGTCGGCCGGGCCAGTAGAGGCGTTGGCGTAATAAGTATACGATAATTATGTTCTAAGCAAGCCTATATTACATCATCCTCTTTGTGATTAGTGAAAAATAATCAAATTAATTCGAAATTATGAAGATTAAACTTGCCAAAATAAAGCGCTAAACACCTTATAGGCCAATGAAAAATCTGAACACTCAGCTTAAAGGTCAATCAATCAAGCAGCACTATAAAAGTACAATTCAGCTTCGCATAGGCGCCTGTTCTTGATAAACTTTGGGAGACGACGCGAACTCCTCAACCTGTGGATTTAGAATGAAACTTCTTGTCGTGCTAGTACTTGTACCTTGTTTTTGCTTGACTATCGATGGAAAAGGCTTTTTAGCTGAAGAAGACCTCGTAACCAACAATGATGATCCTAAGTTCTTGAACTTCTACGAGGAAGACCCAGAGAGTTTTGTGACCGGAATCGAGGATTTCTTTCCCCAACGATATACTGACGACCAGTTCAGTGGGGAATCGTCTGGAAGTAAGATGGTTTAATTTAATTTTTTTTTTAATTCAGCCATTTTTTCTAGCCTACAATAAATTTATCCGATATTCGGTGAATTTGCTGGAAATTCGTTACCACAATCATTTGACAATTTCTCCTTCTACGCCGAGTTAGTTCCTGTGGAAAAAAAAGCTTTGTTCAGAGATCAAATTGACCTGGAATATCAGCGAACGTGTTGACTAACAAGCTGCAATGAAGATAAAATAGTGCGTAAGAGCTGGAATAAAAGTTAACATTGACCATCTTAAAACCCAAAAAGATGACTTAGTAAACTGTAAGAAATGTTCACCTTTGTTGCGTACACTTACCATAGGTGATTGTGTTCCGGCGCAATTTTTGGCTTTCTCAAATCTGCATCCACATTAACATTTGCTTCACTACCTGAAGACAGAGATCATTGTTGAAAAAGGTTCATGTGAGCTTTACTTCAGTTTATAGAAGGTTATGTTTCTCATAGCCTTTACCTTCTTTTATTTGTGTTTGATGACAGAATTCTCAGTATTTGTATATTTGTATTCGCTGTAGCATTAGTACATGGTCGTGGACCACTAGCGGTCGTCCTTTTTTTCCCTCAAGACCACGCTTAAAAGTATTGTGTCTCAAAAGAAAAATTAGAGACGGCACGCGATCTAACATGGAGTGTTACTGATATGAATTTATATCTACACTGATCAACAGCAACTAATGCTTTTAAACAGACTAATTAATTTATTTTAAATTAATGTTTGTGTTTTGTTTCAGTTCAGAGTCCTTGTGCCGAGAACCCCTGCCTAAATGATGGTAACTGCTCAGTGATTACTGGTGGAGATTATTCTTGCGCATGCCCGGGTGGATATTATGGAAAGAACTGTGAAACAGGTACTTTCAGAAAGTATTTAAACACTTCGCTTGATTTCTAAGAGCGCCGGCTGAATTGTAAGGAAAAACACGAAGCAAAGCGAAGAATGATCATACCCCATTAAAAGGGCTGCTTTTTAAAACATATCTGTGATAAGTTTCAAATGAGATGTTTTAAAGACTTGAAAATCGAAGTTCTATTCTTATATCACTCGATACACTAAGGCTCACTGGAAGTTCAGACGTCAAACGTTTCGTGTACCGAACTTAATACCCATTGGGTTGACCTAAATGATAAAGGTTGGACGGTTGACTTAGGCCTCGAAGTTTATTAGTGGTACTCAATTTCGATTTTCACGATGTGCAATGGTCAGTCTTGAACCATGGCCACATTTGCAACATAGTCAAAATAGATTACTTGTCCATTGGATAGGGGCACATTAAAAGTTTGAACGTTCAACTGGGCCTACGGCAAACTATAAAAGTGATTGTTAAGAGAAAGAAACATTACAGGTGTTTAAGAGTGGACCTACTAATAATTTCTGACCATCAAGTAAGTGTACACCTTTTTGTTATTTTCATAGCAAACCTGTGTTACAAGAACCCTTGTAAAAACGGAGGTGAATGCAAGTCTCGCGCTGGCCGCAGCTACTATTGTAAATGTGCACAGGGATTTCAAGGAAAAAACTGCGAAGAAGGTTATAACACTACTCTCACCTAAATTAAAATAACGGATAGATAAGAGGGTCTAAGTCTCTAAGATCAAATGTTCACCAAATGTTTTTAGGATCTTGCCGTAGTTTAATTTCGCCGCTGTCAGTAAAAAGATACGAATTCTTCATGGGAAAAGACAGTTTCTTCGAGGGATTCCAAGACATTTTCAGCAATTCGCAAACAGTTAGTTCATGGCAATATCGGCATTTAAAATGCAGTGGTTCTGGGTGGCTGATAAACAATGAATTTTGTACACTTCTAATATTTTTAAACAGAATTTTGCAAAAACTCAAATATCAAACTCTGGCCGGGTTGTTCAAAGCTGGGTTAAGATAACTCATGGTTAGTGCGAAAATTGAACTCAGATATAAAAGGTAAAAAATCAAATTCAGTTTAATCCTCTTCCTCTATGATTTGCTAATGGCATAAGCTTAAACGAATCAGAAAAATTTATTCGAGGAAATGCTTCAGATGTGTGTAAATTCTTCAGTTAGAAAGGGATAAAGGATAGTAAAGAGTGGGCATTTTTTGTTCTTAACTAATGCAAAAGTATACTCAGTAATGTAGACCAACGTTTAAGTTCATATTATATGTCACAACTTTTTTGTCAAAAGCAAAAAGAGTAAAATAAGCAGCCCGAAATAACATTTGAATTACATATTTTTCATTGAAAGAACAGTTTCATATCAAGGAATGAGGCTTCAATTGATAAACTAGTAACAATACCCTCTAGGCAATGTGCTGATTAGTTATTTCGATTGCATAATACTCATTTCACTGTTGACTAAATAAAAGCTGAAGAGACAAAGTCGATCATAACTTGGAACACAACTTGCAACATTTTTTAATGTAATGACACATTTTGTCGTTAATTAAGAAAAAAATGAAATTAAGATCAAAACACTGCTCAAAATATTAAGAGTATTTTTTTTTTCTTCAGACAAACAGACAGAACTCTTTTAGCCAATGAAAACTGAAAAGAAAAATACCATGGTTAGTTAAAAACAAAATGTAAACACGAACCCCTAAAAGAATTGAAAGAAGATATTTCAGAGGGACAAAGAAATAGGTATTAAGTTCGGCACATATAAAGTTCGACGTTTGAACCGGCGGGCCTTAGCCAATGAAAGTCGGCCGGGCCAGTAGAGGCGTTGGCGTAATAAGTATACGATAATTATGTTCTAAGCAAGCCTATATTACATCATCCTCTTTGTGATTAGTGAAAAATAATCAAATTAATTCGAAATTATGAAGATTAAACTTGCCAAAATAAAGCGCTAAACACCTTATAGGCCAATGAAAAATCTGAACACTCAGCTTAAAGGTCAATCAATCAAGCAGCACTATAAAAGTACAATTCAGCTTCGCATAGGCGCCTGTTCTTGATAAACTTTGGGAGACGACGCGAACTGCTCAACCTGTGGATTTAGAATGAAACTTCTTGTCGTGCTAGTACTTGTACCTTGTTTTTGCTTGACTATCGATGGAAAAGGCTTTTTAGCTGAAGAAGACCTCGTAACCAACAATGATGATCCTAAGTTCTTGAACTTCTACGAGGAAGAACCAGAGAGTTTTGTGACCGGAATCGAGGATTTCTTTCCCCAACGATATACTGACGACCAGTTCAGTGGGGAATCGTCTGGAAGTAAGATTGTTTAATTTAATTTTTTTTTTAATTCAGCCATTTTTTCTAGCCTACAATAAATTTATCCGATATTCGGTGAATTTGCTGGAAATTCGTTACCACAATCATTTGACAATTTCTCCTTCTACGCCGAGTTAGTTCCTGTGGAAAAAAAAGCTTTGTTCAGAGATCAAATTGACCTGGAATATCAGCGAACGTGTTGACTAACAAGCTGCAATGAAGATAAAATAGTGCGTAAGAGCTGGAATAAAAGTTAACATTGACCATCTTAAAACCCAAAAAGATGACTTAGTAAACTGTAAGAAATGTTCACCTTTGTTGCGTACACTTACCATAGGTGATTGTGTTCCGGCGCAATTTTTGGCTTTCTCAAATCTGCATCCACATTAACATTTGCTTCACTACCTGAAGACAGAGATCATTGTTGAAAAAGGTTTATGTGAGCTTTACTTCAGTTTATAGAAGGTTATGTTTCTCATAGCCTTTACCTTCTTTTATTTGTGTTTGATGACAGAATTCTCAGTATTTGTATATTTGTATTCGCTGTAGCATTAGTACATGGTCGTGGACCACTAGCGGTCGTCCTTTTTTTCCCTCAAGACCACGCTTGAAAGTATTGTGTCTCAAAAGAAAAATTAGAGACGGCACGCGATCTAACATGGAGTGTTACTGATATGAATTTATATCTACACTGATCAACAGCAACTAATGCTTTTAAACAGACTAATTAATTTATTTTAAATTAATGTTTGTGTTTTGTTTCAGTTCAGAGTCCTTGTGCCGAGAACCCCTGCCTAAATGATGGTAACTGCTCAGTGATTACTGGTGGAGATTATTCTTGCGCATGCCCGGGTGGATATTATGGAAAGAACTGTGAAACAGGTACTTTCAGAAAGTATTTAAACACTTCGCTTGATTTCTAAGAGCGCCGGCTGAATTGTAAGGAAAAACACGAAGCAAAGCGAAGAATGATCATACCCCATTAAAAGGGCTGCTTTTTAAAACATATCTGTGATAAGTTTCAAATGAGATGTTTTAAAGACTTGAAAATCGAAGTTCTATTCTTATATCACTCGATACACTAAGGCTCACTGGAAGTTCAGACGTCAAACGTTTCGTGTACCGAACTTAATACCCATTGGGTTGACCTAAATGATAAAGGTTGGACGCTTGACTTAGGCCTCGAAGTTGATTAGTGGTACTCAATTTCGATTTTCACGATGTGCAATGGTCAGTCTTGAACCATGGCCACATTTGCAACATAGTCAAAATAGATTACTTGTCCATTGGATAGGGGCACATTAAAAGTTTGAACGTTCAACTGGGCCTACGGCAAACTATAAAAGTGATTGTTAAGAGAAAGAAACATTACAGGTGTTTAAGAGTGGACCTACTAATAATTTCTGACCATCAAGTAAGTGTACACCTTTTTGTTATTTTCATAGCAAACCTGTGTTACAAGAACCCTTGTAAAAACGGAGGTGAATGCAAGTCTCGCGCTGGCCGCAGCTACTATTGTAAATGTGCTCAGGGATTTCAAGGAAAAAACTGCGAAGAAGGTTATAACACTACTCTCACCTAAATTAAAATAACGGATAGATAAGAAGGTCTAAGTCTCTAAGATCAAATGTTCACCAAATGTTTTTAGGATCTTGCCGTAGTTTAATTTCGCCGCTGTCAGTAAAAAGATACGAATTCTTCATGGGAAAAGACAGTTTCTTCGAGGGATTCCAAGACATTTTCAGCAATTCGCAAACAGTTAGTTTATGGCAATATCGGCATTTAAAATGCAGTGGTTCTGGGTGGCTGATAAACAATGAATTTTGTACACTTCTAATATTTTTAAACAGAATTTTGCAAAAACTCAAATATCAAACTCTGGCCGGGTTGTTCAAAGCTGGGTTAAGATAATTCATGGTTAGTGCGAAAATTGAACTCAGATATAAAAGGTAAAAAATCAAATTCAGTTTAATCCTCTTCCTCTATGATTTGCTAATGGCATAAGCTTAAACGAATCAGAAAAATTTATTCGAGGAAATGCTTCTGAGCAAAAGGAAAACTGAGGAACCCGGATTAAAACATTTTCCACGGGATAGTGCTAATCGGGCTTTGAAAAACTGGGCCCACACTTTTTGATGTAGCTAAATTTACACTGATCAGTAAATGTCTACAAGGCAATAAATTATGGTTCTTATAAAGGATAAGCGTTTTCCATCCTTAGGACGCTCAATTTAAAGCCGTATTAGTTGTCCGGGAAAAAAGTCCCAGATTTGCGCAAATCTTTCATCAATCGCTCGGCCCAGGGGCCCGTTTCTCGAAAGTCAATAACTTTTCGGGCCCGGAAAGCTCTTTAATGTTTACCGTGCGGTTTACATTCAAGATCAAAGTTGTCATAGTAACACATTCAATGGTATTCAATCTTCACGAACAGCTTTCAAATAAAGATGTTCTAATTTTGTACACAAAACACATTTTTTTATAGACATAAACGAGTGTTCTGGTGATATTTGTGGTGAAAATGCCAACTGCGAAAATACAGTGGGTTCTTACATTTGTACTTGCAAATCTGGATACGCCAGGAGAAATATAACAGGCTGCTCTGGTAAGAATATTCATTATTGCACCAAATTACCTTTTTTTCTTTAGATTCCTAGTTTTTAGCTTATAATTTCTTATTATTTCTTCCAGCTGAATATTCTGAGATGGTGCATTTTGAATTTCATGAAACATTGGTCTTCTGCGACCAGTCTCAAACCTGGTTGTTTTTATTTTGATAAATTTAACCATCTTCTCTGGGGGTTGAATTCACTTTTCCTACTATTCTACACTATCAAAGAGAAAAAAATTCTTCAAGATTCTTAGAAAGTAGTTCTTCGAGGAAAAACAGATAGTTTATTTTAGAAAAATAACCTTACAATATTCTCTTCTTAGATATCAACGAGTGTGCTATCGGCGCTGATGCTTGTGACGTTAATGCCAAGTGTAAAAATACTGTTGGATCTTACACTTGTACCTGCAACAAGGGATTTACAGGAAATGGAAAAACATGCACTGGTAAGATTTACTTGTAACTGACTGACCAACTCTTCCCAAATTAAAACAATCGCTTTCTTTTCCAAGTAGCGAAATAGTAAATGATATCGCTTAAAAGTTTTACTAGTTTTAACCGTTTTACCCTGCAGTAATGTCCCTTTAAGATGCTTGAAATATTACTGAGAAAAATACGATCTATTTTAGATTAAATTGAAACTTAGAAGTAATCGTAAGTAGAGTCCACTCGAGACTAAACTATTTTTTGGTTGCATATACACAGAAATATTCACAGAGTTGGTCAGATAATTTTCCAAAAGAAAAATTTATATTGGACGATGTCTTATAGCCTTGAGCGAACCTTAAAACCGTGTTCTGATTTCTCGAGATACTGAGAATATTAATGAAAAGCACCAATAACGCGAACTGTCTCACGCAAACATCTGAAATCAAGATGAATCATTGTTACATGAAATGGACTGTTTGCATAGCAAGGGCGAAATATTAAACCTCAACAAACAGTCAAGAACTCTGTTTCTATTTCTCGCTCACTCCGGTCCAATTATCCATTTATGGCAGAAAGAAAGATAAGCTTAATGCACGAGAGCCTTTTTTGTTAGTGCTCCTGAACATAGCCTGTTTATGAATTTCGAAATGGCACAGAAAAGGCAGACAAACGACGAAAAACGCAGACTTGTTTATGCTCTCCCCCTTAGTACCGCAGGATACCCAAGAACCAAAGAATACCCAAGATTAGGAGTTCCGTTCCCCTAACGTCAAACGCAAAAATCTTGTAATATTCTCTTCTTAGATATCAACGAATGTTCTACCGGCGCTAATGCATGCGACGCTAATGCCAAATGCAAAAATACTGTTGGATCTTTCACATGTACCTGCAAAAAGGGTTTTTCAGGGAATGGAAAAACATGCACCGGTAAGATTTACCAGTTCTTCCTCTTTTCCAGTTCGGTTCTAATCAAATAGCACAATATTAAATAATATTCCAATTAATATTACTTCTGCATAGTTTTAACTGTTTAACCCTACTAGTAAAGTGGCTTTAAAATACCTGAACGATTTTTTCTAAGTAAATAACGATCTAGTAAAACTGAAATACTCTTGTGATACTCTGTTCCTAGATATCAACGAATGTTCTACCGGCGCTGATGCTTGTGACGTTAATGCCAAATGCAAAAATAATGTTGGATCTTACACTTGTACCTGCAAAAAGGGATTCACAGGAAATGGAAAAACATGCACTGGTAAGATTGAATTATATTACTGTCTATTACTACCTTCGGCTTCTTTCTTTAAGAAAAACACCTTCTTTCTTTAAAAAGAAAAACATCTTCATGTTTAGACCTTCGTTTGATTTCACTAACATTGCCTTAAAAGGTACCCTTAATTTCTGTCAGATGATTCGAAAAATAGGGTAGTATAAAGTACCGACACTTGTTTTGTAATCTTACCTTCTTGACGAAATTAACCTGACGATTTTCTTTTCCCAGATATCAACGAATGTTCTACCGGTGCTGATGATTGTGACGTTAATGCCAAGTGCAAGAATAATGTCGGATATTACACTTGTACGTGCAAAAACGGTTTTACAGGAAATGGAAAAACATGCACTGGTAAGATTTACTTCACTAACTGCCTAGTTCTTCCGGCTAAAGAAAAACAATCCTCTTCAGATTTTCCTGTCAAATGACGCAACATACGTGCGAAATAATATCGCTCAGTGGTATTACTGTGGTTTTTAACTATTTAACCCTGCAGTTAAGTGGCTTAAAGATGCTTGAAAAAGAAAGTTACGATCTTTTCAAACCTGAAATAATTTCGTGATTTTCTGTTCTAAGATATCAACGAGTGTGCTACCGGCGCTGATGGCTGTGACGTCAATGCCAAATGCAAAAATACTGTTGGATCTTTCACTTGCACCTGCAAAGAGGGTTTCACAGGAAATGGAAAAACATGCACTGGTAAGAATTACTTGACTAACTGCCTAGCTCTTCCAAAAATAAAAACTCTGTTTTGCCTTTCAATAACAGTTTTACCTGTTTAACACTGTAGTAGACTGGAGTTTTTGAGTTACTTCAAAGTATTTCAAAAAAAAAATAAACGGTACATTCAAAAGAAATCATCTCATGATATTCTGTTCTTAGACATCAACGAATGTTCTAACGGAGCTGATGCCTGTGACGTTAATGCCAAATGCAAAAATACTGTTGGATCTCACACTTGTACCTGCAACAAGGGTTTTACAGGGAATGGAAAGACATGCACCGGTAAGATTTACTTAACGTCCTTAACTTACGGACTTCTCCTCCCCAAAGAAAAAGGCTTCGTCTTCATTTTCGACTTTCCTCGTTAAATTTGATCCATTAGCTCAGTGGTAAAATGATTCAGGAAATAGCACAGTCTCGCATTACAATGATAGCCTTTAAAAATGAATGGCAAGCACAGTGGCTTGCCAATTCAAGTGACTTGCAAAAAACCCAGGGGGTGAACATAATGGCCATTGACACCTCTGCCAAACCCAGTCACCCTGATTATCAAATAAACTCTGGTTAAAGAGAGAAGACATGAAAATTTAATTTGCAGAGCAAATATTTTGTAAAGCTGTTAATATAATAATGTACTAAACTGGCGATAAGACTGCCTTAAAAGATATTTCGAACAAAGAAAAGATCTTTTTAAAACTCAAATAATCTCATGATACTCTGTTCTTAGATATCAACGAATGTTCTACCGGCGCTGATGACTGTGGCGTTAATGCCAAGTGCAAAAATACTGTTGGATCTTACACTTGTAGCTGCAAAAAGGGTTTTTCAGGAAATGGAAAAACATGCACTGGTAAGATTTACTTAATTATCTTACTGCCTTCTTCACTTTCAGATTTTCCCTTCATAAGACGCAAAATTAAATGATTAAGGTTAAGATAATAGCTTTTTATTGATACTTAATTGTAACTTCTTAACCCTGTAGTAAAATGACAGAAATACCAAGCTAATAAAGATCTATTAAAACTGATCTTGTGATATTCCGTTCTTAGAAATCAACGAATGTTCTGTCGGCGCTGATAGCTGTGACGTTAATGCCAAGTGCAAAAATACTGTTGGATCTTACACTTGTATCTGCAAAAAGGGTTTTACAGGAAATGGATATAAATGCAAAGGCAAGATTTATTTATTTGTTACTGACTTCTTCCCCTGAAAGGAAAGCGTCATCTTCATATTCAGACCTTTCTTTGTTTCCAACAACATGCCATTAAAACGAGTGCAATGTCCAATTGTCTCTCAAGTCCAAAACTTTGGGTTTAATAATAGTTTAAAATCTCTCCTTTACTAACTCCCACCACTATCTTGGCTCGTTCTGCCAGTCGGCTCTTCCTTTTCTAGCCTCATTTTCAGTGCTTGAAAATCTTGCGTTAGAGTGTCAAGTTTGCTCTTGAAGCTATCGGTTCCCTTTTCCAATAAATGGATGGTAATTTTTGTCATTATTCAGACACATTTGAGTCGAAGTTTTGGCAGTTCGCCAAAAAAATAATGCCTGTTTACTGAAGCACGCGTTTCCCTACTCAGTCCTCTTGCCCACTAACTTTAAAAAAAACATCTAAATATATTCATAAATTTTAAATATTTCTGTTTAGATATCGATGAATGTGCTGTACAGAATGGCGGATGCTCTCACGACTGTGAAAATACACCCGGCAGTTACGAGTGCGCATGCCTAGACGCAGAGCTCTCATTGGCTAAAGACAACCATACTTGTGAAGGTAAACACCAAACATACCTTTCCCTGATATACATGTGTCCAATATCAGCAGCTAGTAGCTCATTGAATGGTTGTTACTTCTGTTAAAAAAAATTATTGAAAGAAAATTTCGAAAATGCAAGAACTGATTTAATTGTCGAAAAGGGTAGAAGAGAACTTAGGTGCTTCCCGGGGTCTTTCCTGTCTTCTCCGGCTGCTAGTAAGCGTGAAAATGTATTAAACTTACAGATTACTTGACATGATTTCTTGGGAAATTCTTGTTGTTAAGAATCATCTACAGAACTTAGTACAGTATTTGATCTTGCTTATAAGCTTGTAATTCCTTCGCTTGACACACTTGTAACTTTATCCGCCATTACTGATAATCTTATAGTGATTCATAAACATTAACTGCAAAGGACCGAAAATGAATATGTGGCAAAATGTAGAGGAACTGATCAACAAAATATACAAAAAGTAAACGTATTGAACGTATCTACAAAGCTGATCTTAATTTAAAGAAATATATTCGCAAGGCATAAATACGACACCGACAAAAACTCAAAACAGAGCGGGGATGTAGCCATGATTGAAATTCCTACTCTGCTGAGATTATTATTAGCCTATATTTAATTATTATTATTTTTAACCTTAATGTCTTTTAATTGTACATATTTTTTATCAAACCTCTTGTACTTATTGTTAATTTATTGTATTTATCATTTTTAATTTAAAATCGGCTTGATTTTTTGTAATAATATACTGTAGTCAGGGCATTAGTTAGTGAACAGCCACCTCCTGAAAGTAAGACTAATAAAATCGTCATTATTATTATTATTATTATCATTGTTATTATTATTATAAATTTCCAGCAAATCGTCCACCGTATAACCTACTGGTAGACCAGGGATCAACCCAGACTGGGGTGATCAACTCCTATTAAATGGTTTAAACATTTTTTCCTCAGCAAAAGGTGTGCTCGTCCGTTGCCTTCAAAACAAGATGTCCATCACTATCCCCAAGCTCATTCTCAAAGGAATGGACCGAGAGCATGTTCGTCTCCTGGACCCAAACTGCGGAGCAACCGAGAATGCCACACATTTCACTCTGACAACAGCACTGACGAAATGCAACACAACACGAAGACACACCAAGTCTTCCATTGTATATAGCAACACTGTGCTGGAGATTCCGCTGAAAAATAATGACATCATTACCCGTGTCAGGGAAATTGAGATTCCATTCAGTTGTTACTATTCTAATAAAAGAACAGCCACAGCCGTTGGAATGAGGCCCGAAAACCGAAAGCTGGTTTTCTCGGAGAAAGGAAAAGGAAATTTCACCATTGTACTGGAATTATTCCACAATAAAAGGTTTGAAGTTTATAGCAATTTAAATATATACATTTTCAGAAAGACGAAACTGCATTCAAACTAACTGCTTTATCAAACCGTTATATTTCGAAATGAGACTTCTCCACATATCCTACGGCTTTGAATAAGTGTATTGTAAAAGTAGGGAACTCGACATCTTTCAGGCCAAAACTTGCTTCTAATTGAGTTTTCTCAGAAATGCGATCAAGATAGGACAGAATATTCATCTTTTTTTCAAAGCCAGGAAGCTGATATCTCGTGCATGACGCAAAAACTGAACATACTACTTTGATTTCGACAACGGCAAGACTTAACCGTTTTGTTTCGTGTGATTCCAGATTCGTCAAATCATATAGTGCAAGTGACTACCCATTGTCCTTTAAACTCCGACAATTGATGTTCTTCCAAGCCAAAGTTCAGAGCAAAGACAAGGGGCTGTCGATCTTGGCTAAAAAATGTTTTGCCACACCAACACCTGATCAGAAAAACCCGAAGAAGCATTTCATAATGGATAATGGGTAAGGAAAGATCTTTTTTGTCCTCGCTGTCTTTGTTTTTTAATAAAAACGTGTTGCAGACAATTAACTCATTTTGCGTAATAAATCAGGCTAGAACCCAAATACAAAAAGAACTCACAACTATATAACCGTGTTTTTTAAGAACCTGTTCGCCTAAAATTTTGTCAGGTAACTCTTATCATACTCAAACCACTCTCGCGCGTGAAAAAAATCCTTCTGCGCTGCCTCAGCATCTCAAAATATTCCGTAATGTGATACTTAAATATCTTAAATCGAAGCCACTGTTCACATGAACACTACTTTTTTTGCCAGATGTCCAGTTGATGATACCTTGGAACTCTATTCTTCACCTACGGGCACCTTTCGATTTGGTTTGGAAGCCTTTGAATTTGTGGATCAGCCATTTGTCTTTGTGCACTGTCACGTGATCATCTGTAACGCGACTGATCCGCAATCCAGATGTGCACGAGGATGTGAAAAGAAACCTCGGCTCAGACGTGAAGTCCAACATCACAAGATATATTCCTTGGTGCAAGGACCAATGACGCTAGATCGTAATAAGGAATACAAGGAACTAGACAATAATCTCGCTATTGGCAGCAAAGTCGATACTGCAGGTATTATACACTCGAAATGTTTTTCATGAAAGTCATCTTCCTCTTAACAGACAGTCCAGACACTTGAAGTTGATCCCTGCCATCCTGTCATGCGCTTTAAAGCGGACAATTAAACTGTACTATGTTTTTCAATGGAACTGCCCAACAAACAGCACGTATTTACGATCACTTCCTGTTTTGAATAACTGATCCATTGAACAGCCCACAATATAAATGATTTTGCTGTTAAACTAGAAAGACACGGATTTTAAAACCCTTTCCACTGATTATTTTTTCTCTTCCTGTCTTATTTCCTTTTTTCTAGCCGGAGACAACCTTCCACTGCTTGCAGCCATGGCCGCCATGACAGCTTTGACCATGTTTGGAGTCGCATTTATGGCTTTCAAGAAAAGATGACGTGTTGGCAACTTATATTTTGCTCATCCCTAGCTGTTAAATCACTGGTCTGAATAAATGCAATGTCATGAACTTAACAAACACTGTGTCTCTTGTCTTGTGGTTACGCTATGTTCTCAGCGTTGGGAGACGAAAATTGAAGAAAAACAAATTATAGCAAATAAATATTTTTGTTTTAAAGTGAACGTTCTATTTCCGCTTTCGACACTGTATATCAAGCTACCGTACATCCCTTTAAAACCGTGACATCCCTCATAGAGGCAAAAATTTTCGCTACCCTTATTGATCCATTAACAGTCTCGAATAGAGGAAAAGGGCAAATTTAGTCGTTTCGAAAGAGTGAGCCGACAAAAGTCAGGTTTGGATCCACACCAGTTTCAACTGTTTTACGAAAATCGGTCAGTTTTTTCATAATTAATATATATTTTTAATGAAAAACACTTTCCAAGTTAAAATCTGGCCAATATCCTGACTGAATGACTCAGAAACCCAAGAAAGGTGACTTTAGGGAGAAAAGATCCAAACAAATTCACTGGGCTGCATACCCCGCACCCCACTAGAGCTTGCGCTCTCGGCGCTCGTTTAGAAAATCGGTCAGTATTTACCCTACATCCGCGCCTGAAAGTATCTTCCTACTTTTTTAAAGGAGTAAACTTTGCTTTTTCTTATACGCTTAAGTCGATTAGGAAATATTCTTCTCGTATGTTTTTAGGCACATTATAGTATTGACAATTTCAAATTATTACCTTATTTGTCGACATTAGTTTACGGTGCTTTATGCTTTGTACTGTAATGCGGTACATTTCTACGATAAACTGTGTGGACATGTGCTTCTTCCTCCTTCCTCTTTAAATATGCTAACCCTTTCTACTATCAACAGTTATTTTTTCCCTGCTGTCTTCATTCATTTCTTATGGTATGGACGAGGAGAATTTGCTTAACAATCAATACCTTTTCTCTAATACAATTCGTCGCTCAATGGCTCTTTTAACTGCATCCAACTACAATAAGGTTTATCTTACAAGTCCCATAACTTGAATAAAATATGAACTATAGGTATGTTTAACTTCCGTTCTGTCAACAGCACTCGATATAATGCATAAGTCGCGGAGTTTTTCAGTAGTTATAGCAACTACCTGATCTACAACATCTGCTCACGGTTGATATTTTCAGAGCATTTTACCTTAAGTATCACGAAGAGCAAGAAAGTAGATTTTATCGTTGGCGAATTTAACAGGTCTTTCACAGAGCCTTGATAGTGGTAATTACCCGTTTCCCTTGTACTTAGCCTTTATGCTTTTAAATGTTGCTTGACCATATTCATGTTTTGTATTAGAAATAACCCCAATCAGTGAGTCATTAGTGTCGAGAAAGTTTACACTGGCTATCTTAATACTGCTGAATAGAACCAATCTACTAACCAGGGAACAATCCTTTTTAGATATTACAGTTCCTGACGTTAAGTAGATATCAGTACGGCTGTAATTACTTGATAGTCTAGCAAATTCATTTTTGTTGCTCACCCTAGGAAAATTAATTAACGCAGAGGAATTTGTAGTTTTCCTATCTTCCTTTCTCCAAAATTTGATAGAAAATACCAATTTCTACTTCGTTCTTCGACATTAATTGCTCCAAAAGACCTGATACGTGATTGGAAGCACTGCTTCTAAGCGCTCGATAACCTTAACATTAACAGCTTGTGTGGCAGGAGTTTAAAGGGCAAAGGAACAAGGGAAGCACGACGTGCGAGAACATGAAAGACGCTCTTCGGCAACTCGCTCTCCTTAAAGGAGCTATCACCTCGCCTTACCTATCCTTTTCGCGGCTCGTGGCACATAAGGCCTTCACAGAGTTCCTCCACGCATCTCGGTTAGCCGCAACGGTCTTCACTTCCCCCCACGATCGCCATCCTGCTTCTGCCCTTCCTTTTTCCACCATTCGCCTCTAGGTGGTTTTTGGTCTTCCTGTTCTTTTTTTTCCTTTTGGTGCCCAAGTCATTCCTATATTGCAGTCGCTGTTCTGGTCCTGTCTTAGTATATGTCCAATTATCTTCCATCTATGCTACTTCTGCTCACCTCTTTACTCGTAGTTTTCATGTTTCTATGTCCTATGATGCTAGACTATTACTCTTTTAGGTTAATTCTGTGCTGAATTCATTACTTTTTGCCTCAGTAGAGTTATTGAGACATCAAACAAATTTCGTCAGGGAGCACCAACCATAATCATTTTTCCTCGGCCATGCTTGCAAGCATAGTATTAAAACTCGATAAAGGAAGTCCATTTATTTTCATCATTTTCACGTCTTCAATTCTCAATCCATGTCTATCCTTGTCGTCAGAAGCAACAGACAAAAAGAAAGAGTTTCAATGCCTAAAATAGTGCAATACTAAGTAAAAATACTGGATCATTAATTTTGAAATACAGTTGATGCGAAGACAAGTTAAAACGTTTTAAAAAGATAGTTAATAGCGTGACACAGCCCATTTAATTACCACTTTCCTTTCCATCTCAAACGTTTTCAAAGCAGGCTGATACATTCACAAAAAACCCCAGTTATCATTGCAAAATTTACCTGACAAAGGTATGGTGATGAGCCTCTTGGTGACTATCCAATGGATGGAACGCCCGTCCCTCAAAATGCACGGTTCTTGGGGTTTAATGTTTTCTTGTTAAAATTAAAAAAATCCGGCTAGATTCCATTTTTTTACTTTATCGTTTTCCCAGCTGTTTTTCTATGAAATATGAATGTTTAAGACGGAATCCATCAGGAAATTGAGTAATTTCAATATTCAATGACAAAAACCTTGTACCAGAATAATTTAAACAATATTGCATTCTTTTTTACATTTTTCAAGGGCAATAGATAAAGTTAGGGCCTGTTTACATGGAGTGGGGGACCCCGGTCTAGTGGGGTTGGTTTCTTATTTTCAGAAAGACGAAACTGCATTCAAACTAACTGCTTTATCAAACCGTTATATTTCGAAATGAGACTTCTCCACATATCCTACGGCTTTGAATAAGTGTATTGTAAAAGTAGGGTACTCGACATCTTTCAGGCCAGAACTTGCTTCTAATTGAGTTTTCTCAGAAATGCGATCAAGATAGGACAGAATATTCATCTTTTTTCAAACCCAGGAAGCTGATATCTCGTGCAACTGAGATATGAACATACTACTTTGATTTCGACAACAGCAAGGCTTAACCGTTTTGTTTTGTGTGATTCCAGATTCGTCAAATCATATAGTGCAAGTGACTACCCATTGTCCTTTAAACTCCGACAATTGATGTTCTTCCAAGCCAAAGTTCAGAGCAAAGACAAGAGGCTGTCGATCTTGGCTAAAAAATGTTTTGCCACACCAACACCTGATCAGAAAAACCCGAAGAAGCATTTCATAATGGATGATGGGTAAGGAAAGATCTTTTTTGTCCTCGCTGTCTTTGTTTTTTTAATATTACGTGTTACAGACAATTAACTCATTTCGCATAACAAATCAGGCTAGAACCCGGATACACAAAGAACCCGCAACTATATAACCGTGTTTTTTAACAACCTGTTCGCCTAAAATTTGTCAGTTAACTCTTATCATACTCAAACCACTCTCGTGCGTGAAAAAAAATCCTTTTGCGCCGTCTCAGCATCTCAAAATATTCCCGTAATGTGATACTTAAATATCTTAAATCGAAGCCAATGTTCACATAGACAACAATTTTTTTGCCAGATGTCCAGTTGATGATACCTTGGAACTCTATTCTTCACCAACTGGCACCTTTCGATTTGGTTTGGAAGCCTTTGAATTTGTGGATCAGCCATTTGTCTTTGTCCATTGTCACGTGATCGTCTGTAACGCGACTGATCCGCAATCCAGATGTGCACGAGGATGTGAAAAGAAACCTCGGCTCAGACGTGAAGTCCAACATCGCAAGATATATTCCTTGGTGCAAGGACCAATCACACTAGATCGCCATAAGGAATACAAGGAACCAGACAATAATCTCGCTATTGACAGCAAAGTCGATACTGCAGGTATTATACGCTCGAAATATTTTTCATGAAAGTCATCTTCCTCTTAACAGACAGTCCAGACACTTGCAGTTGATCCCTGCCATTCAATCATGTGCCTTAAAGCGGAGAATTACACTGTACTATGTTTTTCAATGGAACTGCCCAACAAACAGCACGTATTTAGGATCACTTCCTGTTTTGAATAAAACTGATCCATTGAAGGGCCCACAATATAAATGATTTTGAGGATAAACTAGAAAGACACCGATTTTAAAACCCTTTCCACTGATTATTTTTTTCTTTTCCTGTCTTATTTCCTTTTTTCTAGCCGGAGACAATCTTCCACTGCTTGCAGCCATGGCCGCCATGACAGCTTTGACCATGTTTGGAGTCGCATTTATGGCTTTCAAGAAAAGATGACGTGTTGGCAACTTATTCTAAGATCCCTAGCTGTTAAATCACGGGTCTGAATAAATGCAATGTCATGGACTTAACATACACTGTGTTTCTTGTCTTGTGGAAAATTTTCTGTTGGGGTATTAAGAGGGCCGGTTACGCTATGATCTCAGCATTGGGAGACGAAAATTGTAGAGCAACAAATTATGAAAAAGAAATGTTTTTGTTTTAAAGTGAACGTTATCTTTCCGCTTTCGAATATCAACCTACTGTACATCCCTTCAAAACCGTGACATCCCTCATGAAAGCACAAATTTTCGCTACCCTTATTGATCCATTAATAGTCTCGAATAGAGAAAAACGGCGAATTTAACATTTTCAAACAGTGACCTGACAAAAGTCAGGCGTGGATCTACACCAGTTTCAACCATTTTACGAAAATCGGTCAGATTTTTCATAATTAAATATATTTTTTAATGGAAAACACTTTCCAAGTTAAAATCTGGCCAATATCCTGACTGAATGTCTCAGAAACCCAGAAAAGGTTTCTTTAGGGAGAAAAAATGCAAACAAATTCACTGGGATGCATACCCCTGTACCCCCGGGCCCGTACCCCACTAGAGCTTGCGCTCTCGGCGCTCGTTTAGAAAATCGGTCAGTATTTACACTAGATCCGCGCCTGAAAGTATCTTCCTACTTTTTTAAAGGAGTGAACTTTACGTTTTCTCATACGCTTAAGTCGATTAGGAAATAGTCTTCTTGTATGCTTTTAGGCACATTATATTATTGACAATTTCAAATTATTACCTTAGTTCTCAATTTATAATTTGTCGACATCAGTTTACGGTGCTTTATGCTTGGTACTGTAATGCGGCACATTTCTACGATAAACTGTGTGGACATGTGCTTCTTCCTCTTTCCTCTTTAAATATGCCAACCCTTTCTACTATCAACAGGTATTTTCTCCCCGCTGTCTTCATTCATTTCTTGTGGTATGGACGAGGAGAATTTGCTTAACAATCAATACCTTTTTTCTCATACATTTCGTCGCTCATGGGCTCTTTTAACCGCACCCAACTGCAATACCTTTTAGCTTACATGTCCTAGAACTTGAATAAAATATGAACTCTGGGTATGTTTAACTTCCGTTCTGTCAACAGCACTGGATATAATGCATAAGTCGCGGAGTTTTTCAGTAGTTATAGCAACTACTTGATCTACAACACCTGCTCACGGTAGATCATTTCCGAGCGTTTTAACTTGAGTATCACGAAGAGCAAGTAAGGAAATTTTATCCTTGGCGAGTTCAACAGGTCTTTCACAGAGCCTTGATAGTGGTAATTACCCGTTTCCATCGTATTTAGCCTTTACGCTTTTAAATGTTGCTTGACCATATTCATGTTTTGTATTAGAAATAACCCCAATCAGTGAGTCATTAGTGTCGAGAAAGTTTATACTGGCTATCTTAATACTGCTGAATAGAACCAATCTACTAACCAGGGAACAATCCTTTTTAGATATTACAGTTCCTGACGTTAAGTAGATATCAGTATGGCTGTAATTACTTGATAGTGTAGCAAATTCATTTTTGTTGCTCACCCTAGGCAAATTAATTAACGCAGAGGAATTTGTAGTTTTCCTATCTTCCTTTCTCCAAAATTTGATAGAAAATACCAATTTCTACTTCTTTCTTCGACATTAATTGTTCCAAAAGACCTGATACGTGATTGGAAGCACTGCTTCTAAGCGCTCGATGTCCTTAACATTAACAGCTTGTGTGGCAGGAGTTTAAAGGGCAAAGGAACAAGGGAAGCACAACGTGCGAGAACATGAAAGACGCTCTTCGAGAACTCGCTCTCCTTAAAGGGGCTATCACCTCACCTCACCAATCGTCTTCGTGCCTCGTGGCACATAAGGCCTTCACAGAGTTTCTCCACTTATCTCGGTTAGCTGCAACGGTCTTCACTTGTTCCCACGATCGCCATTCGGCTACTGCCCTTTCTTTTTCAACCGTTCGCCTCCAGGTGGTTTTTGGTCTTCCTCTTTTTTTCCTTTTGGTGCCCAAGTCATTGATATGTTGCAGTCGCTGTTTTGGTCCTGTCTTAGTATATTTCCGGTCATCTTCCATCTATGCTGCTTCTGCTCACCTCTTTACTCATAGTTTTCATGTTTCTATGTGCTGTGTTACTAGAATATTACTCTCTTAGGTTAATTCTGTGCTGAAGTCATTACTTTTTGCCTAAGTAGAGTTATTAAGACATCAGACAGATTGCATCAGGAAGCACCAACCATAATCATTTTTCTTCGGCTATGCTTGCAAGCATAGTATTAAAACTCGATAAAGGAAGTCCATTTATTTTCACGTCTTCAATTCTCAATCAATGTCTATCCTTGTCGTCAGAAGCAACAGACGAAAAGAAGGAGTTTCAATGCCTAAAATAGTGCAATACTAAGTAAAAATACTGGATCATTAATTTTGAAATACAGTTGATGCGAAGACAAGTTAAAACGTTTTAAAAACATAGTTAATAGCGTGACACAGCCCATTTAATTACCACTTTCCTTTCCATCTCAAACGTTTTCAAAGCAGGCTGATACATTCACAAAAAACCCCAGTTATCATTGCAAAATTGACCTGACAAAGGTATGGTGATGAGCCTCTTGGTGACTATCCATTGGATGGAACGCCCGTCCCTCAAAATACACGGTTCTTGGGGTTTAATGTTTTCTTGTTTAAATTAAAAAAAATCCGGCTAGATTTCATTTTTTTTTACTTTATCGTTTTCCCAGCTGTTTTTCTATGAAATATGAATGTTTAAGACGGAATCCATCAGGAAATTGAGTAATTTCAATATTCAATGGACAAAAACCTTGTACCAGAATAATTTAAACAATATTGCATTCTTTTTTACATTTTTCAAGGGCAATAGATAAAGTTAGGGCCTGTTTACATGGAGTGGGGGACCCCGGTCTAGTGGGGTTGGTTTCTTATGTTTTCACGCTCTGGGGGAAACCAAACAAAAGAAACTTACCCCACTAGACCGGGGTCCGGGTGAGGTACATTTGTCCCAGAATCAATAGACCACTGACATTATTGTGGTTCAGTGCACTCGGGCTCTTTTATTTACAGTTTAAAGTGTTCTTAACACTTTTGTGTTCATTTTAAGACTTTTAAAGATGTCTAAGGTGTCATTTTGTGCAATTTGACATCTATTTTCTCGGGCTCTCATAAGAAATATTCTTTGGTGTTATTACGGATAACTAATTACATCTATATCCCTTGAAAAATGTTAAAAAGAATGCGATATTGTTCAAATTATTCTGGTTCAAGGTTTTTGTCCACTGAAAATTTAAGTTACTCAATTTCCTGATGGATTCCGTCTTAAATTTAAAATGTTTGGCCCCCAATCGCATGTAATCGTGAACAACAGACAATACCCGTGCAATTGCTGGACCAATTACTTTTTATTTCATGAGCAGAATTTTTGATACATTTTCTCTTGTTTCAGTGACATATAAAAGACACCATATTTCTCTATTATCTATGACGACAGAGAAACTTTGATAGAATGATAAGTTATAAAAGAAGATCCATTAAAAAATCAATTTATTTAACAAGCTCAAGAAATTCTTCGGGAAAAAAAGAGTTTTGTCACGTTCTATAAATTGTAATTTAAGCGGAAATCCTACGGGTTATTTTTTGTCAAAAAAATGTCCTTTCCTCGATATGATTTACTACTATTTTTATTCATAATGTATAAAACTCACATGAGGTGAATTTCAGCAACGCACAGAAGAATTCCCGCACTACCACACAGTTGTTCCATGAAAGACTCAATTTCAATAACAATCTTTTAGTACTCCTTATCAGCTTCAAATTGAATGGTAACACTTTAGAATTTCATCCACACACAGTTTTATGGTAAGGAATACTTTGTATACAATAGAAACTGTTTTCCAAGAGAAAGCTCCTCAGTAAATGGTTCACTTCAATTGTCCCACTTGAGACCTAAGCACAGGGAGGTACAGCTCTCAGTATATTCCATAGTCATATTTCAAACACAGACTCTGGAGCTTCTAACACCTTAAAAAGCATCAGAAATGCTACCATATAAACGTAATTTAAAGCAACAGTGGCACTAGAGTGACGTCTTAGTAGCATTTATATGATTGATCGAGCTTCTTTTTATCTAGCTAGGGGGTAAAATATTTAAACCTGACTACATGATTAGGGCTTTCACCCAAGAAGCGAGGGTTGATTGTTAAGGGAAAAAATCAATTAACCATCTCCTTACTAAGTTTCAGTGTTGCTACCAGTTATGAGCATCCAAGACTTCTTCACTACATTGACTGTTCTTCTATTTATAGGTAAGTCACGATATACCCTATCAACTGTTTTGAAACTGTTCACCATGCAAAGTGCTCTATCTGTCTCCTTTTGCCGCCAGCACAGCAAACCCGATGAACGCCACGCTAGCATTCTACATACCTCACCTCCTTATTTTGATTTTCCGGTTGAGCCCTAATCGCTTTAATTGCTTCAATAACATATTTCTCATTGCCAGGTCAAATACGAGGAAGCCTAGCTACAGGGGCACCCAACGACTTTTTTCTGTAAAATAATTGTTCGAAGGAGCAAATATTGCCTAGAAAATTCTAAACCTCGAGAAAGGCTTAAAATTTCTGGATAACCGTTCCATTCGCCTAAGACATTCCGCGCTTTTGTACTTTGTTACCTATGATTTTCGAAGGTTTTGTTCTTCACATTTAATTACCAAGATATTGGGAAAATTGCTAAAAATAACGTCTCCTGAAAATTTCGG